ACAGTAGAGCGCCATTCCTGCGGGAGAACAGCACGTCCAGTGCAGACAGACACTCTTGCTCAAGGGCAGTGCTGCATACCAGATGTCTAAACCTGTAAGCTTAAGGGCTATATACTGATGATATCTGTAGCAGTCATATCCGCTCAGACTTTTAAAACGCAGAAAAATGACCTGATCCTTTTTTAATATATAGCAAAGCAACTGCATGTTGTTCAAAGTGATAGTTTAGAGGAAATTCTGTCCAATAGACTTTTCTATAACGCATATAAAAAATATAAAATGACATAACTTTTGCAATAATGTGCACCAAATACTTTAGTGAAGAAAATGTGTTCTGTCCTTATTACCATAGTTGGCCAGCAGGGGCAGTCTATTCAAACAGAGCTAATCATTTAAATTACCACATTAAATCATGTGTTTTCTTTTATACAAATACGTGGTTTGGCAGTGAGAGAAGTGAGAGATTAATTTAGACAGAAATATGAAGGTACGTCAAAAATGTTTTAAAACAATTTGAGATGTTATTTATGTAAATAAAACTTTTTTTGAGATCTGAGACTCCACCTGAATATAGTCCGGGACTCCTGTACTGTCCATCCGACTGGCCACGTTGACTGTGTTGCCCCATATATCGTACTGGGGTTTCCTGGCTCCGATCACCCCGGCTACAACAGGCCCCATGTTCAGTCCTGAGAGGAAAAAAAATCCCCATAAGGTGTTATAAGATATTTGTTACATAAATATTTTAAAATTAAATTTTCAATGCTGGATTTAGGTAAGCTTTAAAATTATAGTTCAGTTCCAGTTCCTGCCACAATTCCGGCTTACCGATCTTCATCTGGAAGTTATTGAAGGAGTGCTCGTTGATGTATTTCATCTGCTCTCTAAGCCTCATGGCATAGTCGGCCAAAGCCAGGATGTGTGATCGACCCTCCTTATCGTAGGTGGAATCGTTGAGTCCTGACGCTGCCATGTAAGTAGAGCCAATGGTTTTGATTTTCTCCAGTTGACGGAATCTCTCCTCACTGATAATCTACAGACAGAGCAGCACCGATGTGTATGAACAACAAATTAAGATAACCAGGAAAAATGATCAGACATCCGCAGCAATATCAACCGTCTCCTCCCACCTCGTCGAAATCAGCGATGATCTCGTTGAGCAGCCGGAGACACTCCACGCCTTCGTTGTTAGCCTCTAATTCCACGTAGAACTCTGAGAAGTTGCTGATGGAGGCAAACATCACCGCAACGCACTCACACGACTGGTAATACAGCTCGTCATTTCTACGCTCACGGGCAAGAAAGTGGGCAGCAACATCCTTCGGCAGGATGTTGTGGAGCAGCCGTCGGTTGTAAGCCTGCAGCTCCTCCATCTCCTCCTTCTCCTCTGTGGCCTGATGAGCATAAATACACAGATGTGGTTCCATTAGTGAAATGCACTTTTTAACTGTTTTCGATCATTTAAAAAAAAGTCATACTGTCTGTAAAGTTGAACGTGGGCGTCAATAGATCTTTGAGTTGAAGTAGGAAGTAGGAAGTAGGAAGAGTAGGTTAACAAAACTCCTATTTGTTTGATTTAAAAAAAATGTGTTTGAAGCTTTTTCAGTGTTGGCTTTGACACCAAACAAACCTACGAATATAAGTGAGCTTAAAGGCCACGAGGAACGGGATCACCGTCCTCAGGAATGCAGCCAGAAGCTGGTGTCTGCTCCTGTACTGAGTTTGCAGGAGGTCATTAGAACAAAAAGTTATTTTCCAAGAACAATAGATGTCTTTCATTATCTAAGCAGTGGTGGCTTAGTGGTTAAAGAAGCATAAATACACAGATGTGGTTCCATTAGTGAAATGCACTTTTTAACTGTATTCAATCATTTAAAAAAAAAGTCATACTGTCTGTAAAGTTGAAGGTCACATTTTGTCGTGTGTTGTGTCACAATGACAAGGAGTTCACTTTCCTTCCTTTTTAATGTTTCTTTATTAATTCTGAAGTTTTCGACACCGTCCACACACACTTTGGTGATGGGTTAAAAACAGAGGTCACATTTTGTCGTGTGTTGTGTCACAATGACAAGGAGTTCACTTTCCTTCCTTTTTAATGTTTCTTTATTAATTCTGAAGTTTTATTAAATCAAGTCACGTTAATTATATTTGTAGGGTCCAAATTCACAAAACACATTTGGCTTTGATGGATGTTACAGTTTATACATTAAAATAAGATTCTCCCTTTATACTAGTAATCTAGTAGTAATTTATCATATTTATATTAACAATACAAAGCAGAGCAGAATATGAGTTTCAAAGTTTCAGTGCGGTTCAAATGTTCTGACTGCTGCTGCTGAGGTTTCACTTTCATTTACCTGAAGCTTCCAGAGGAAGTCAAGGCGAGCAGTGGACTCCACCTGCTGGCCGTGCAGGTAGAGAGCCAGGACAAAGACAGTCAGGATTACAGGAGTCATGACCTTCAGGGATACCTTGGTAACACTGTCTGGGCTGAGGAGAGAGCACACACACACACTGCCGTTACAGACTGTATCGTAGCACTCGCTAATATATGCAAACCTATTTTTCCGGCCGTAGAACAACAATAGAAGTGACTTACCACAGTTCTGCAGTTTCATTGAAACCCGCACTGGAAAAAAGGACAAAAGAAAGTCGTGTCAACAAACCCTGTAAGAAACTGAATAGAAGTAAACAGAAAGTAATGCAACTTACTGTGGTAGGGAATCATTAACATGCAGCAGTTGCCTGAGGAAAAAGAAAAGAAGAACTTAAAAAAGAAAGACAGGACTAAACGTGAGAAAGTAGGTCAAATATAATCTAAACTTTATCATAAAACAAAGTAGGTCAAAAAGCAATGTATGGAGTGGAGACGTGAACTGTTGTGGGTGTTGAAATTGCAGCAAAAAACAGAGTAAACAGAGTAAAACTCTGGACGCAGCTAGCAGTGGTGCTGAGTGTTGAGATGATATATGGAGCTCCATCTGCGTCGTGAAAGAAAAAAATAAAAACATGTTTATCCACTGTGTATTCGAGCAACAATAAGTGTATGAGCGATGGAAGTAGTGTTTTTGTGCTAAAGTGCTTTAAAATTTTAACCTGATTAATCTTCACAAATTGATTAATATCATTTTGACAGAGCTGGTATTATTTCTTTATGGTCAGGCTTATAATGGTTTGGTTTCATATGTAGGCTGTGGAGTGACCCACCCTCGCGTAGTAGTAGTAGTAGTAGTAGTAGTAGTAGTAGTAGTAGTAGTAGTAGTAGTAGTAGTAGTAGTAGTAGTAGTAGTAAGGTAAATAAAGGAATAATTAATATTAAGTCTTTTCTTAGTTTCTTTGACTTTGTCATACAATAAAACCATCAAATGTTGGGTAAAAGTAAAGAGTTGAAACTTTGAGTCCTGAGTCAAGTGTACTGTCATCACTGATCAACAGAGTTAATCACAGGAGAAGCATGTGTTCGTCAGCTATTTTTACATCATCAATCGTTTCTGTGCTCCATAACAGTTTGAACAACCGTGGGTGAACACGACAACTGATAGGAGACTCACAGTGTGTTGGCAATGACCAGCAGGTCCGCGTTGTCAAACAGAACCACCTGAGGCCACTCCACCAGTAGGAGGAAAATGAGCTGAATGATCAACATGAGGGCAAGCTTCCCTATGCTGCTGATGTGGAGGAACACAGAGCAGGCCAGCAGGGTCAGCAGTACGCTGTAGCTGAAGTACTGCAGGAGAGAGGAGAGGGAATAAGGAGAATATTCAAACCAGCAATTCCGCGAGCACAAACAAAAATGCTGACCACACGCTGCAGGTTACAAAAGTAGGTCACACAAAGCAGTGACACACGCTAAACTGTTGTGGGGCTGACCTGTGGGAAATGGCAGGGCATGGTCTGGCTGGAACACAGAGTCAAACCGTCCTCTACCGTCTGGGTCAGGTTGTGCAGCAGGCAGAGAGTTGCTGAGGTGTTCAGTTCATCAGCTACACAGTCCCGTAGTCTCTCTCTGCTGCAGGTAAACTGTCAGGAAAAAAGGTCGACTCAGTTATCCAGGAATTAGTAACAAAAAGACCAGAATATAACCTGTTCACTCTTGCAGCCTTCACTTCATTTCAATTACACAAATGAAATTTGTATATATATGTATATATAAGATATATATCATATATACATATATCTAAATGTATATATATACTGCATATATATATGAAAGATTCAGATCAATGGATTATCATGGGTAATATAAAAAAGTGCAATCATGTTTGGTTTACAAACACTTCAAACAGAAACCTAATTTTAAGGTGATTTCCTGGGATCAACGGTGACTGTTGAATTGAAGTGGTACTTCAGACCTAAGTATCTTTTCACCTTTGGTTCTGTATAACTTTATTACAGTACATTTCTTCACTATTCTGTTGCTGACAGTTATTTTCTGCTCCTGTTTATATTAGCTCAGCCAGACGCCAGAACCAATCAACCTCCTGCGTTAATGCCAACTATAATAATGGTGGCCTGTTAATGTGTCAAGCCCTAATATATATATATATATATAGTATGAAATATAAGTTTGCCTTTTAAAGTGCAATGTTAAATCTGTCCTAATTCAATGTTGGACACTGCCATTGTTCTCCTTTGATTCCTCACCAATGCAATAATAAATGTGTCTTCCTAAATGTGCCAGTAAACATAGAAGAAATGTGGTGATTATAAATAGACTGATTTCTACAACTCCGTCTGTCACTGTGATAAATTATCATTACTTCCAACTCAATTAGTAATTATAGCACTCCCCGGGGCTTTTTTATGAAGGCCAGGATGTAGCAGAAGGTCTACAAATGTCCTGCAAAGCTGTCACATGGTTATCTAAGATAGGGAGTGAATTATAGATCATAGATAGAGCGACACATTTAACAGTTCATACATTAGCACCATTCCTTGTATCTTTGTATCAGGAGTATTTTGAAGCAACATCACAACTGTTGACAGTGTATCTTTGTATTTGAAGCAACATCACAACTGTTGACAGATTCAGCCCCTACCATATTAGCGAAAGAGGCGACGAAGAGGAGGAGGATGGTGAGGACGCCAACCAGCGTGCTGTTTGCACGCGATTGCACTATTTTCTTGGTTACGGTCTGCAAGGCAACTGGGAAGAGCTGGAATACAGCAGGCGTCAGGGACGGGATCAGATAAGAGAGATTTAATACCGTGAGTGATCCGGTCTGGAACCATGTGACAATGACTCTTTATCTGAAGAGCCACTGCAGAGAATGAGTGACAACTGCAGCTGTGTCTTACTTTAATGCAGGAGTAGATGGAGCAGATGAAGAGGATGTTGGCGAGGATGACGAAGATGCTAACGTAAAGACCTAGCATCAGCGGTGTCCTGTGGAAGAGAGGAAACTGAGACTTTTATTCACTGTTTAAGATAGCATTTCCTGTCCACCATTATTGAACTGGTAAACTAGAAAAGACACTGGGTATGAGCTGGAACGACTCACTTTGGAAAAATAATAATCTGAATGAAGCAGATGCAACAGAACACGAGGAGTGTGCAGGCCACGTAACCTCCGAACCGATCGTCAACCTTTTTGGAGTACTGTAAACAGAGAATTGAAAGGAAGTCAAATACATTGTGATCCATTCAGTTCATGTACATAACAACCGAAATCCCTGAACAAACAACCTTTTTCTCCAGATCGGCCGTCTGAAAAGTGAGGAGAAACTTCTTTACGTGATCCTTCCGCAGCTGGTCAATGCTGCGTGCGTCAATGGCCCGACCGAGGAATTCATCCACTTCGTCCTCAGGGTTCAGGGCCTCCTGAGTGCAGCGACTACAGCGTGGATGAAAGAAAAAGGGCAGAGCATGGTGTCTGTATCTGTATGTGTGGAATGACTTACAGCTACTGTGGTTTTTGCTGCAGACTTGGTTCAGACCTCAGACCTCCACAGTGATGACTGTCAGTCAATCACTGATATTAAAAACTACACAGGAGACACGAATGACACTCACTTGTCTTTGCTGGATGCTTCATCGATGCCCTGAGAAATAAAAAGTCAGACGTAGAAGAAGTGAGAAAATGACTGCACAAAAGGGGAAACTGTAGCAAATAATCAAAGTCTGGATCACCACGTAGCCACAGTGCAACAACAATAAAAACAGAGACACAGACATCTGCGCAGCTAATCCCTGCGAGTGAGACTGATGTTTTAATTAACGCTCTGAGCTTCAAATTACACCCTCTTTGCCCCCTGGCGCTGACCTTTTGGGAAGGAGAGAAAAAAAAAGGGACCGCGAATGAAGGAAAGTCGAGGAAGCAGGGGAACATGTAGAATGAAGGGAGTTGAGTGAGGAAGTGAAATATCTGCAGCTGCAGCCTGCAGATTGGCCTCAGTAGAATCCAATGAGCTGGAAATCCCTTGGACCCTCAGTGCAGCTTCTGTTTGTTTGATATGAAACGATCAATAATTCTTACAGACTCTCCCACCGCTCCGGGTTTTTCCATGTAAGTACTACAGTAGAAATCCGTCACATCAGGACATTTTATTCAGCCTGGTCTGGTCCAGACATGGTGACAATACATTTTACTGGGTCTTCATGCTGTTTTGTAATCAGAATAAGAAGTCTGAAGGTGTGGTATTTTAGATTATTGTCCGTTTAAGTGTCCACTGAAGTGAATTGCCAGTTTTGACCAGTTGTAAACATTAACACCAGCAGGAAGCCCGATCTGTCTCTGATTGGCTGGTAGTCACTGCTTTTGCTTGTTGGGTGGGTCAATGACCTTTGTCAACCTAGTCCTGTCCCTTTCCAGAAAAAAATCCAGACATTTTCACTTTTCATGTTCAGTTAAATCTGGTAACGTTTTAAATGTTTTTGGCTGTTGTACTTTGAGCTGCAGTGCTAACTAGTATCTAACTGTATATAATTCTAGATGGTACTTTCAACTGAACAATGGCCCATTTTAGCTTTTAGCAGTTTCTTGTAAATGGACATTGCCAAAGCTTTTTAAGTTACATTGTGGGTTTGGGTAATGTTTGCTTTTTGATTGTAATTTGTATATAAAATAATACAAATAATACAAAAGAGCAATCCCAGCAAATATTAAAGTCATGGTTTTGGTTTTCAGCTATAATGTATGTATTCTTCGCTCCAAAAAAATCAAATAACTACATACTGTTAAAATAACATTGATCATTATTAATGTTTTAAAAACCCTTTTGCCAAGCCTAAATCTCAACATTGACTGACACCAAAAACTAATAGTTATTTTATCTTAGCTTCAGTTGAATAAATTATAAACCAGGCTGTTAGCATTCAGCTCAAGGGAGAAATAAATACCCATTCACTTTGCCCTGGCATGAATTCAACTGCTGTTGATATTTTTCAGGCCCTATGTTGGTGTGACTCAAAGAAAAACATCTTTTATAATCTGTCCTCACATCATTGTCATCATTTTCACCTACATTTAGAAACTCTTACATGACTCAGGCTGTTTGTAAAAGACAGAAAAACCAGGTGTCAACCACTCAGATGAGCGCCCCCTGGCTTCATCTCACCATCTGCCTAAAAGCTTTGGGTTCCTTGGGCCTGGAGAAGGTTCTGTCCGGGACCCAGCGTGGCATCAGTCCCTCAACAGAATTTGCACGCCCTCGCTGTATCTTGGCCATCATGGCTTTCTCTTCTTTCTGAAAATGAAGAAGCACCACCGTGACAATTACTCTGACAAACAAGGTCCCCGGTGTCAAGTGACAAACCATTATACTGTTGGTGGGAAATACAGCACTGGAGAGTTACTGTGAAGTTTTGAAGAAGGCTCAAGGATGTGTGTGTGTGTGTGTGTTCCCAGCACTAACCCGCTTTTGGCTGCAACCCAAAACCAAGAAGGTTTCAATGTTGTTCTCCTTTAGGTAAGCATTCCTCTCTCCACCAAAGCCTGGCTCCACCTCATAGTCACCGTTCAGGTACTGTAGAGTTGCTTTGGTGATGTGGATACGTCTACACACACGGAAAATGACACACACGCACACACACACACAAAGTTTCAGATAATAATAATAATCTTAATTAAATCCCTTATTCTTATACCAATCCCAGCCAAAAACCAACAGTCATTTTAAAGTGAATAATTAACCATATCCCTAATCTGGGTGTTGTTGAACCATGGGAGCAAACAGGACCCATAGAACTTAGACTCCATAAAGAAAATAGAGTTAAAAAAAATGACAGTTTCTTGTAAGCTGTCAAGTTTTTGAAGAGTGGTACTTTAATTAAAAAAAAAAAATCTATAGACCAGCTGTCTGCCTTTAAACGTCTGAGGATAAAAGTGACTTGAAAAACCTTCCCAAGAAACTTATTTCATAAAAACATGACTTTAGATTAGAACACTTATCTGGACCCTTTTTTCACCTTATTCAAGGTAGAGCCAAACTTAATAAATGACGTAGTAGAAGTGTCCTACCCAGCTTTTCCTCCGGCTTCCATTTGGTTGGCAAGTGTCACATCGTTGGACCAGACGTCAAACTGCCACTTGCGGAGCCCGAGAACCCCACAGTGAACACGTCCACTGTGGATACCAACCCTCATGTTCACATTAACGCCCGTCACCTCTCTCACCAGCCTGCAGTCGCACACATATGAACAAGCTATTGTCAAAATAAAAGCACTTGTAACCAAAACTGCATTTTTCTCTCACAGTGGGGATTCTTATGTGACTTTATAGGGGACAATCTATGCACTGGAAATGTGTCTGATATCAGGCTGTTTACACCATCATGATTTCACCCGCTCTGTGATGTCATAAAGCCAGGGATGACAACAACCAACCACCAAACCCAGCTGGGGGTATCATCCATACTACCACCTGTGCCAGGATCTGAAATGTATGGTACTCATCCACAACGGCCGGACAATTATCTACAACTAACTACAACCCAGAAGCGAAGCACAGCTGCTCGCTGCGCTAAATGAACAATATTATGGAAACACTCAAAGCACTTGAGGTTTGTTGTCATCTGTAACAACACAGAGGAGACAGCCTGTGAGGCCGTTCAAGTTCTGTTAGTCGACATATTAACACAAAAGTGAAGGCAATGTAACAAAGTTAACTACTAACCACTGCAAAAAACTTCAACATTCATTACTGTCGCCTAAGTCTTTTCTTCAGGTATCCTGGCGGTACACAATACCTGCCAGAATGGCATACGATACCTTACTACGCATGCACACAAAAAAAAAACCACACAAATGCACCTGTCAGAATCAGACAATTTGCTAACAGGCATTTCACACTCACTGCTTAACTGTTGCCATGGTTACAAAGCTTTCCTCAGACGCCACCAAAGTGGCTCATTAGCAACAAAAGATAAAGGTACAGAAACAGACAGCTCAGAACAAAGTGACTAAAGAATCCAGATCGTCCCAAACATGTGCCTGACATTTCAGCTGAACCATAGTCAATTGTATGAACATATGCCCCCTATAAAGATGGTGAGTGTCTAGGAGTTTTGGTGGGATTGACTCACGAGATGGCTTCAATCATGTCTACTCCCATCTCCACGCAGCAGTGGGCGTGGTCGGCCCTGGGCTCAGGCAGCCCGGACACACAGTAGTAACAGTCGCCGAGAATTTTGATACGAAGGCAGTGGTTTTCCTGCGAACACACACGCAACAACATTATACTGAGTGCAAAAGATTCTCCTGCCGGATATGGAGCCTGGACTGCATGATTTGGATGGTTCATCAGTTCAGCATGGTCTAATTGATGTGTTACACAACGCTTAAGCATCCCCGCCCCCTCAATCTAGTACACCAATGCTGGCTGTGTCACTGTAACTGCACAGTTACGTAAGCAGCGGTTCAAAGTCCTGATATAAAACACCGGCTGCTGCGGGGGTCCGTTCTTACCGAGGCCAGCTTGTCAAAGCGGGCAAAAAGTTCGTTTAGCGTCATGACCAGTTCCTGGGCTGTGCACTGAGACGCCAGACTGGTGAAGCCCTCAATGTCTGCAAACAGTATGCTGGAGAGAAGGAGGAGCAGTGGAGGGGGGGGGGGGGGGGGGGGGGGGGGGGGGGGGCGTAGAGGGTAACCAAAAGAGACAGAAAGAAAAATAAACATAAATGAGACTGAAAAATAGTTCAATCAATAAAACATTGAGATTGTTAGCATGCTCTCGCACCTCCCTTCTTCCCTCCCTCCCTCCCTCCCTCCATCGGAAAAAGCTGCCATGTGAGCAGGAGAAGGAGAGAGGCAGTCATTTGTTCAGCTCTGCCTCTCATCATCCACACCAATGTAGGTCATCTCCTCCAGCCTGTCCCTCTGAGAACGCTCCAAACCAACCCCCTGTCTGCATGCCTTTCATTACTAACATTTGATATTAATGAAAAGCGATGAGGAGCAACAAGCTAGACCTGAAACTCATATGAAGACAACAGATGGCGCTAAAAGTCCCACACGGTAGAGACAGAAACAACAACCAAACTCACAATTTGATAACAAAAAAATGCCATTGATTGCGCAATCCTTTAGTTACTTGACCTCAATTATAAACAAATACTCTATTTACTGGATTAAACCAGTGGTATTTAGCCCAGCACTGGCATGTCGCCCTGTTTGCCCTTGTTAATACACTTCAGTCAGCCACCGTTCACCTTCTGTATGTTCTACTGCAGCAGTGATGTCACAGAAACATGATGGAGAACGAATCACATTTAGTTGGAATTACTTTCAAACTTATTGTTTAGCACTAACTCAAATAATAACAACATCCTGTAGAGGTCTATTTTACACACCACACCCTTATGACCATTAATTATGGCAACCTGCTAATTACGTTGCAGCCACTCAGTGTGTTTTCGTCATGTTGACGAACACAAAAAATAAGAAAACATTAAAGATTTGAGAGCCTATTTTAAAGAATTGAATTGATTAAATTACGCTCAATATTTTTAAGTTTTCTTTTTGGGTTTCACCTCACAAACATCTCTGTTGCATGGTTGTCGAAAAAATAACAAACTAAGAAACAAAATCCTACATGCTACTGCTATTAGTTAAAAACACCACGTTTGTGGTCACAAATTAAAAAAAAGCTTCATGAAATATTAAACAATTATGAAGCTATTTATAACCACTCAGTGTAAAAAATTAATAAATCATATGTGAAAGGGTAATAGCATAGCACTTGGTTTAAAATCTGCCCTGCCCCATCAGTAGCATCAGTGTTTTTATTAAGTAAGAACTAAAAATGATAAAAACAGAAGTAGTAGTACAGAATAAACCTCCAACTGACAACACAGTCTTTGTTTTTTTAATTAATGTTTTATTTGCAATGGTCTAATTATCAATCTAATTATTGATAGAACATTACAAATACAACATTAATATATATTAATATAATATATATATGTTTCTTAACTACATGCACTTCTTTAAAAAGGTACTTTACTAATACGAAGTGTGTTCATATTTTTTTGTACTATGTTGATTTGGGATAATGTCTCGTTCCTGTAAGTTCATACCTGCAGCAGCAGCAGCAGCAGCAGCAGCAGCCGTGCTGCAACAGATTGTTCTACTAAGTACATCACCTGTATCTATTTGGGTCACCTCTGACAGGAGATCTCTGAGGCTGCCTCGTTTCATTGTCTCCACCAATATGGCTACAGCCACGTGAGAAGTGCCGGCTGCACCTAATGCTAGCCTGATTGATGGAGAGTTTCAATTTGCCCGTTAGTGCTGATTTATTCCCAACACCAGCAACATCCAGCGGTGAGGACTGAAGAGGGGGACCTGCCTGAGTGAATATCCGTACTGCAGATAGGCCTGTCACTGTCAATGCACAGCCACTGCATAATACACTGTAATAGTCCTGAGTTTATGGGTTTATCATTAGAATATTTTCACTTTCCATTCAGGTTCTATTCATCACTCACTTGTCACACACAGTCCCGTCCTCCATCCTGGAACCTAGCAATTCCCCTCAGCTGTCCTTAATTTTAGGATTGTCTCCAACATTCTAACTTTCTGGTGGTCTTGATGTACAACGGAAGGTCAAAAAAAAAAATTCTATGACAGACTTTTGTTTTAAAGTTTTTCAAATGAGAAAACTACCCGATAATTTTGACAGGTTCCCATTTAAGTTTCCCATTTGCTTATATTTTTATACCTGATTAAATAGTGTGTTGTATTTATCTAAATTGGATTGGATTGGAAAAAATCTTAAATTGATACTTACTTTATTACTTTTCATCTGACTTTAGAATTACTGGGAAATAAAGTTAATAAAGTGTATTTCTAATAAATATAAACATATTTATATATGATATATTTGACCCTTTTTTCAAAGTAATAAAAAGTCATATTTTAATTACAATAAAAGTGTGTGTATGTGTGTTTATATACACACTGTATGTGTGTTTACCTAACATTGTCATGTTTTTGGATGTAGATCTTGTGGAACATCATATCTTCCTTCTTGGCATTGATATCAGCCTTCATCTCCATGGCAACATGTCTTGGCAGTACTGACAGGAGTAGGCGCTCCTGGGAGAGAAAAACAGAGAGAGAGAAAGAGAGGGAGAGAGAGAGAGAGAGAGAGAGAGAGAGAGAGGGTGAGCCTGAGCCCATTCATTGCATGAGTCCACACCATTAGAAAGCTGAATGAGTCACCATGCCTTGTTGGCATCTGTGTAGGAACGTGTCAGTCGGACGGCGAGGAGTGGAGATATGTGTTATACTCATGAACATATTGTCTAAAATTGACACAAACAATTTAGCCTTGAAGATGGAGACACCCTTTAGTTGTTCCTTTGCATGTCTCCGTGTGTTTGGTTTTCCTACAGGATATGGACGCCGCTTCCTCCTCCTCCTTATTTGCTTAAGCATGCATGTTTGCGTGTGTAAGTGTGAGTGCGTGCATGTGTCTACCTGCTGCTGGTTTTCTCTCTGCAGATGCAGTCTGGCCTGGATGTATCCTCTTGTTTCCTGGAAGGCCTGTCTCTGGGAGACCTCCGCAGGGTAGTGGGTGCAGATCCCTATCATGTTAGTGCAGAGGAAGATCACCACGTTGGCACTGACCTGAAAACAAATTCACAGACACAATGCTTAGCACAAAATTGGGAAAACAGAGACAAGACAGAGGAACCCCACCAAGTATAGATGTCACTCTACAAGAATACAGTCAACTCTGTCTGACCTGGGTGAGGTCAATGAACTAAATTGATAACATCATAGGATTTACTGCAGGAAGAAAAAAGAAATCCTAAAAACAACTCAGGGAACAATGGCTGTGATCTGCTCAGAAGCGATGACAAGCGCCCTGTGGTCGCTCAGCTAGATGACTTTGGCCTCTTGTTGCACATGATACCGAAAACTAAATAGTGTGAAGCAAAATTGTAGGGCATGGGGAAAGTACACTTTCAGTACTGCTTGGATGAAGATCAACGGAAAAAATCAGAATTAACTAACAATGACAAAGGACCCTTTCAATATTTTTGTCATTTGGTGAAACCAGATCATAAGACCCTCAAAAACCGTTCTGAATGATGATCAAGGGAGGGGAACTTCAAAATTAAACGAATTTGTCTATTAATTCAAATGTACATTTTCAACAGGATCAGCAGATAGAAGCTTCTTCTGTGTAACCATTGTGGGGGGGCTAGGGGAGAAAGTTAAGGAGGGGGGAGTGTTGGTTGAACAATGAGGCTTTGAGAAAACAGACCGTGGCCGAAGTAAATTTGTTTCTGATATAGTTCAAACCGAAGTAAATTTGTTTCTGATATAGTTTACGGTTGATTTTGGGCGGCCAGCAACTCTAAAAGCATTAGATGGGGCTGCTGTTTGTGTGTTTCAGCAAACGAGTGGTCAGCCAACAAGTCTGTTAGTCATTCTGTGACTGTCCGCAGCCAAGGACCAAACAGCAGAAATACAGCCATTCAGATCTGGGCTTCCCCTCCACTCAGAAACACACACACACACACACACACTCCGGCCTGGGAAACTCACTTGACCCATGACCTGAGAAGTAAGAGTTTCCTCTGAAGATGACAGCATTTATAATGTGAAAAAACAGCACGACATTAGGCAGAACTGATGAGCAGGTTTTTAAAGTGACACGTTTTGAACACTGTGTCAGGTACAACATGTGCCACTGTTTGGTTTGCGATGCCTCGGAGGCTGGCGCTCACTTTGCTAGACAATAGGAAAACTCACCTGATGAAATCTACGCCTGCTTGAGTCCACTGTGTGCTTAATATGTTTGCTGACTGATCGTAGTGTAAGGAAACGCCATTGTCTGCTCGACCATGTGATGTTTATTTGCGAAATGCAAAGTAAATTGTAATGCCACGAGTGTGTGAGTGCAGAAGAACAAAAATGCAGAAACAGCAGTGACTGTGGCGGAAATGTTTTTTGAAGTGATTAACTTTTTCCCTTTCTCTTAAAATGTTTCCAATATTAAATATTATATAATATAATATTAAATAATAAAAGTGCTACTTTTATTGTGAAGATAAATCAATATAGTGTTGAGTGGTGGTGCAGGCTACAAACAAAGGCACTAATCAATTATTTCCTCAATTGCAGCAAACAGGAAACACAACTGGACCGCACTGACTGCACAACCATTGGTCCTCTGGTTTGACCGCTGCATCACAACAAGTAAGTTTGGAGGAACGCAACGTTTATCTGTGGAAGCTCTAAGATTTAACATACATTTTTGTTCATTTCTGTTTAAAAACATTACGATGCTGTTGTTCTCAAATGATGGTAAGCGTACCACAGCTGGTACGTAGGCTCCCTCTTCCTATTTGGAAAATCAGAAGGACATTTTGTGTGTGTGTATGTGTGTGTGTGTGTGTGTGTGTGTGTGGGGAGGGAGGGTGCTTAGTTTCCGATGTGCCATTTATAGTTACATTTAATTGTACAGTTTAGCTTATGTTTATAAATAGGCTAATAACCTTTGAACTGTTTAAAGCTGAACAGCTTTGGCCTGTACTGCTGTACTCTATTTTAATTTGCTGTCAGTTCTGGGACAGCGGATTATTTGTGGCGGTGGACTTGAAAACCACTGACTTAATAATGACTTGAAGAGTCTTATCCATCACATCACTATTTATAAGATAGGGCTGGTATGTGACCAATCCAGTGTGTTCATTTGTATTTATTTTTTCTGTCAGCGTTATCAAAAAGGGACCTCCTCAACTCTTTTAACCCATGCAGACACCAAAAAAAAAAAAAAGGATGCACCCATCCACATTCTGAGACTGTTGGAGTTGACTCCTATAAAACGATTAATCATTATAAAATGAACAAATATGATTCAAAACTACAGACCACTGACCAACAGGTGTCCACAATCAAAACAGCCAACAACATATAAGAGGGAGGGAAAGCAGTTTACCACACTCCAGAGATAGGGTTTATACTGTATACAGTGAGCTCGGCCTTTGTTGTCTCAACAAGACGGAGACAATCTAGCAACCCGTGTTGGAAACCCAACACCCTTGCCACAGGACACTGACAGGCAAATTCCTTTCTGTTTGTTACCTGGTTTCTTTGTTTTCTCTACCACCTGAAAACAAAGGGACAAAACTACACTGGAGGCATGTCAGTGAGGAGGCGAACACATGCAGGTGCAGATGCCACCACGTCTTCATATTGGGCACATACCAATGCGCAACGTAGCTCAGGGCACTGAGCGCAGCATGGATTGTCTTTTTTATTTTGGAGGGATAAAGATGCAGCCGGGTTTCTTCAAACAAGTTTTTCTTTCATTATATTTTTAAGGCAGGGCCGAGATGTACTATTCCTTGATGCAGGATGAGAGAGAATGCCTAATGCAAACAGGCAACACTCGGAGGTTCACATCAAACCCGTGAAAAATGTGAAGAAGCCTATTATCAGGCTGGTGAAAATGAGGTAAAAAACACACGCTCTGTTTCTGAGAAAGTGTGGAGCACAACCCTGATTTGTGCCGAGCTGTCACTCACTTTGTGAGTGGTCCATAGTGTTAGCTAACGCAACCGAGCCGCCGGGTAAGCCATGCTTCAACCCCTAAAAGCTAAAAAAATTAAGCAGATGGCTCTGAACAAAAGTGAAGCAAATAATTCATTTAGCCAGAGTGTCTGGGATACAGGGCCACCTGCAGTTCCCAAGACCGGGCTTCTCAGCGCTGCATTCAATTCGCATTCAGACAATTCAGCTTCCCGTGTGAGCACACGCTCAGATTTCATAGACCGACCACTCCAACTGATTTTGATAATTTGGCAATAAAAACACAGCAGCCTAGGTGGTCCAACATTTGGAGCTTTTGTGTAAAATAATCAAACAGTGAAGCAAACAAACAGAATCATTAAACACAATTAAATATGTCGGTGAAAACATGGAAGGATTTCTCTTTGTTCTTATGCCTAATGAATTATAGTTCAAACACAATACCAACCGTGGCAATCGTGGTTTTTACTTTATTTTTATTTTTAACTGTGTCAACTTCTCTGGAAACAGGGTTTGCAGATGGTAAATGATTCAAATAAAATGTCTGTTTTAAGGGATAGTATTTTACAAAACTCACAGTTTTACTTTTCTGCAGCCCTTCTAGTCAATGTCTGCAACATCTACGTTTCAAGGTCCGTGTTCCCAGAATACCAGCAGTTTCTCCTCATTCTTCATCACAAACGTAAGTGTAAACTATATTAGTATGATAGCTTTTAATATTGACGTGGTACAGTATGCTAAGTCGCCACAAAATCTGTGGATGTGGAGATTGGATGGCAAAGAGAGCATTAGTGGCCTGTGCATGAATATGTACAGAGTGACACTGTAGAGGCTACATCCACACAAACGCATCACTTCTTCACTAACTAGCGCCCCCTTACCTAATAATTAGGCATCATACCTAATAACTGCTATGTTGCTTGTTAAATCCAATTAAGAGGAAAACACCAGCTAAAATGTAACATCAACATGAGAGGGTTTTCTAGAGTCAGAGTCACTTTCTTTCATATCAGAAGTTGGTCTTCACTTTATTCTTTTCCTCCAAACGGGATTGTAATTAACATCAGATAAAACTGAGGAGCTCCACTGACTGACAGTTGACTCCACAGACCTGATTAAAAGCACAGTCTTTGATGCCTAATCCAAATGTACAAAGGCAGGTACTTCTGTGCAATGCTGTTGAATGGAGTTCAGAAAACCTTCAGGTTTGGTTTGGTTCCATCAAGGTGCCTAGTGATGAAGGGCCGGGAGATTTCATTTCAGAACCACTGAAGGATGGAGATGGGGAGGCTTTTTGTTTGGCAAACACACAGGAAATCCACTCCATCTTTGATAATATCCCACTGGATGACTTCCTGACACACAAACGCGTTGGAATGTCCATCTGTGCAAATCGTGCAACACCACGGCTGATTAGTTCTATTGATTAGGGAGGTTTGGCAGAGAAGTCACATCTGTGTTGAAGTGCTGTAAGTATTATTAACTCTGATGATGACAGACTGAGAGGAAGAACAGACCAGTCACCATTGATAGAATAAACTGTGACCTAATGAATAAGGCTACACTTCAGATAAACAATGGCTGGATTTCCCTCCAAAGATAAGTCGGGATAACGCAGAAATACAGGGAACCAGTAAAGATCAAATTCACACTTGAGTTGAGACTTGAGTGAACATCCCAAGAGTCAACCCTTAAGTCAATAGACAAGGTAAGAAAATGGGCTTTATGAATGTAAATCTCTACGCTGAGCACAACTGGACACAGGCCAAGATCTGTCAGACAAACGTGCATATGAATTTAATTAGAAACGAAATCCAGCGATCTGAATAAAAGCACTATCAATATTCACCAGATGAAGTTAGCCAGACCCCCACCACTGACCGCCTACAGTTTGACCAAAACATTTTCCCTGAAATTCATAGGAAAACACAACTATTTCAGCTGAAAACAGTCCGACAAAGCATGGTCATTTTTTTATTGTTGTTTGAAGACATTTCTAGATAAATATTAAATGATTTCCTTAGTATTAAGACAGATTAACCAGATCTGCAGCAACTGAGCAATGATGTTTCTTAGAGAAAACA